TAAAAAGAATTTAAAATTAAGCTTAATGGAAATTCCCATTAGCAAAAATCCTTCTTATATTTCCACTACTAGCTTTTTAAAAACACTTTATGAATTGATTAGTCTGGTAGGATTTGTTCTTGACAAATCCATGCTGGCTTCTAGTTATTACTGCATTGTGTTCCAGGCACTTAAATAATGTGTTCCAGAATTTTCCACTGTGATTGATGTCTGGCTAAGAGGTGTACTTCCCTGGTTCCTCCTTTTTGCCCTTTTTTTGAAGACAGATACAACATTAGCCCCTCACCCGTTTCCCATGATTTCAAGAAAATAATAGACAGTGGTTCTTCAACCAGCTTGTTCAATACTCTTGGTTCATTCGGTCCTGGAGATTTGAACAAGGTATTCCTTGACTATCTGTTTAACAGCTGCAGTCCTGTTCACATTTATCTGGCAGGTCATAGTTAGAGATGGGGGTATTCATATTCACCATAGTCTGTCCTTTGAGAAAACACTGAGTTAAAATAGGGATTGAGCACTTCTGCCTTTTCTTTCTCGTCTATTATCATTTTTCCATCTCTATTGAGTAGCTGAGACACTGTTTCTTTTCTTTGTCTTTTGCTATGCGCGTACATGAAGAATGCTTTTTTGTTGCTTTTAGTGTCTCTAGTTAATCTCAATTCATTCTCAGCTTTCGCCCTCCTAATGCCATCCCTGCAATTCCTTGCTACTTGTCTATACTCTTCTGGCTTCATTTCCACTTCCTATATGTGTCCTTTTTTTGTTTTCAAGTCTTCTCTGAGCTTTTTTTGAAGTCACAATGGCTTTTTTTGTTGTCTCCCACCCTTTTTTCTTGTTGAAATTATTTGTTGTTGTGCTTTTTTGAAATCCAGGATATAGGTGTGACTACATTGTGCTTTGTTTTCCTTTAAAATCAAGAATTCTAGTAGAACATGATCACTCTCACCCAGAATTCCCGTTATTGCCACTTCCTCCACCAAGTTGTCTCTATTGGTTAGAATCAAGTCATGGATAGCTAGTCCTCTAGTTTCTTCTCCACTTTTTGTAAGAGAAAATTACCAATCGATCAGTTTGCGACTTAGTGTAGATTAAATATTGCAGGAAGCCCTATGAAATTCCATTAGTAAAGCATCAGCAGTAAAAAAACAGGATAGTACTTCTGTCAGGACTAATATAACTAGTGAGTAAGCTCCCCATTCCCTGGGGGAATTCTTCAGGCTGGATTTCAGACGCCTCTCTTTGAGAAAAAAGTTTTCCTGGCATGATGGTGGAAAAAACCCATCTGTAAACCATTGTAAAATGGAAAGGAGGCTGTGTTGTGCATATTCGGTTAAGCGGTTTTAACTCTATGCCATCCTCAACTTTGTAGATTGCATTTCAGGTCCAAATTGTGGATAAATCCTCATTTGAGAGCTAATTTGGAGATACAGTGTCATGAGAAGAGGGAATTCTTTGAGTGCTGAGAAGATTTGGTAGTCACAGCAGGAGCTTTTTTGCATCTCTGTGGGGTTTGCAAGTTAGTTTACTTTGTTTTCTATTTGGTCATAGTGGAGGAAGAAGCATAATCTTTGCTTGCAAGTGTGATAGAAAATCTGCCTGAATCAAATCTCTGGAAAACAAATGAATTTTGGGCTGTATTGTTCCCAAGCAGGATACCATAGTCTCTCTAGACTGAAGGATGCCTATGATTGTTCCCAAGCTGTGGAACTCCCTCCCATGGAAGGCCAGTCCCCCCTTTGCTGTCCTTCTACAAGGAGGCAATGAATACAAACAAGGAGGCAAAGATCTTTCCCTTCAGGCAGGCTTTTTCTCAGTAATTGGCTGCGGGGTGGCCGTGGTGCCTTAGATCCTCTTGAGGGGAAAGATAGCATAAAAATATTTTAAATTGATAATAAATATTGATGGGCTATCTATAAAGCATAGTTTGGCTTCCAGACTAGCTTTAGAGTTGGGTTTGGGTCCAGGAGCTTTTTGATTGTCCTGGCGGTTGAGATTTGTTTGGAAATTTACAGAAGTGTGACTTATTGTTGGTCCTCATAGACGTATTGGTGGCATTAGATGCTCTTGACTCCCAAGTATTACTTTTGTATAGATTAATTTTGTGGAGAGTGTGGGGATTGCATTTCCAGTGGTTGTCGTCCTTCCGTGTCAGGCAGTATGAAATTATTGTTCTGCAGCCCATGGCTGGTCCACTATGACAACCAACTCAAAGAGTTGTCCAGGACAATGTATGTTTTAAGGCATCATCAAACACAGGAGAAGAATACACACGTGACCAAAACCTGCACTTCTGATTTGATAGCAGCATTGTGCTTGGGTAGAAGGACTGCTATTGTTTATTTCTATATGGGAATAAAGTTCCATGATTTAGTGATTTTTCACTCAAGGGTTGTTTTTCTAGAGTGTGTGTGGAAAATTTCTTTTGGGACACCCAAATGTCATTCATTCATTCATTCATTCATTCATTCATTCATTCATTCATTCATTTAACTAACTAACTAACTTATATGCCACCCACACTACCGAAAAGTCTCAGGTCTCTGGCAGCTTACAACATTTAAAATACAATAAAAAGACAAACAATTAAAATGCAATTAAAATATATACTCTAAAAATTGCCTTCAGGACCCCCATTGGCCAGTCTTTGGTGTCATGGGAGTTCACCTGCTTCAAGAGTACATCGTGGTATCATATTAAATCTTCTAGTATACTCTAAAAATTGCCATCAGGACCCCCATTGGCCAGTCTTTGGCGTCATGGGAGTTCACCTGCTTCAAGAGTTCATCGTGTTATCATATTAAATCTTCTAGCTGGGGTAGCCTGTACATATCTTGTTTATTCTGTGATGTCATTATTCTGATAACGAGACGTGGCTCTTTTTCATTTTTTCCCCCCATCCGCTTATTCCAGGAATATTAGGGACTTAATTTCAAAGAATATGCACATGCCAAGGGGAGTATTTAAATTATTTATCTCAGGTATTTTACTTCATGCCCTGCCTTTCTCAGTGTGGGAAGTTATGGGAAAAAGTTTGTGGGAAAACCAAAGCTTCCATCCCGTAAAACATTGCCATCACCAGCAGAGGTTCTATTCTTTATTTGTAGTTCTGTTTACTGTACTCGAGAAGGTCTTGGGTAGCAGTGCTCTGTCTTGTCGCCAGAAAACTGACTTGAACTTCGTCCACAAGTTCCTATGTTGCTTGCATCAGAAAGGTGTCTTAAGAAATATTTATTTCCTGATAAATGAGCACACATTGAAGATTTCACAGATGAAGGATAGAAGAAAATAGATTATTAGGAAGGGGAAGCATAGGCACTTTACATGTTTTTAGGTTGTGTGTATTGCACTGTAACGGCACGCATAACTTCCCAGCTAATCATTAAACCCAACATTCCATTTTTCTCTTATCAGCATCATTTGAATGCTGCATTTGAGGGTGTGATTGTGTGAATAACTTAGCAATACAGTAATTGAGTGTTTGCATACCAGTAAAAAATGGTGTGCCAATTCTTACTTGAGCCTCCTTCTTCCCCCCCCCCCTTCCGTCTTCTTTTGAGGAAATAACTTCTTTTCCATATTTATTTTAACAACCTTTCTCAGGTCATTGAGTGTTAAATAAATGCAGTCAAACGGGAGAAATGTATACCAGGGGCTAAAGATTCGCAGCCAGATCGCTTATTTATATATTTATTTTATTTATTTATTTATATTGCTTATATATATATAAATATTTATTTATTTATTTATTTATTTATTTATTTATTTATTTATTTATTTATTTATTTATTTATTTATATTATTTGTATGCAGTACTGACTTTTTCCCAAGGCAACTCACAAGAACTAAAGCTAAAACTTTAAAACAAAAAACAGTGTTTAAAATATTACATAGACATCATACCTACTGATATTTCTTCTAGTGGCCACTTCTCTCTTGTATGTGAAAATCCAGATTGATAGTTCTCTGAAGCTTAGCTTCAAATATTTTATGTGGGCTGAGGATCTCCTGTGTGCACATATAGCTCCTCTGGCATCTAGAGTTTCCTCCTGTTGGGGTTGCTATTGGGGATTTGAACGCAGGTCTCCTGAGGTCTAGTCCAACACTCTGTCCACAATGCCGCTTTGTCTCATTTGGAACCGTGGGATGGCTAAATTTTATCTGGATCTTGTTTACTTCCTTATAGGGGTTGGTTCTTTCCTGTTTGAAGACTCTGTGGATGAGGAAGAAATTAGGAAGTCTCTAGAAGAAAATACTGTATTTTTCCTTTTGTTTTCTAGGACTCTCTCAAGCGCAGGAAAAGAACTGAAAGACAATTTTTTAAAGGCTTTAGCAGAGCGGGAGGAAGCCAATCGTAGTGGGAAAATGTCTGTGAGTAAATTTGATTTGAAGTCTATTAAATGTTGTGAGATCTTGGAACTTGTGAGTTCTAAGTTTGGGGATGTGAAATAGAAAAACATATTGTGAGTTTCCTACAGGAAACAACTATGGGGAACGCTTACGGATCAGTTTCTCAGAATGCTAGTTGAATTTTAATAACATAGTATAAAAGCATTGTCACTAGACTGTGAAGGTATGGAGCAGATTCTGTAGAATAGCAGTTCTTTCCTAGCAGATAAATTAGATCTGCATGAGACATGTCTGTTAACTGCATATGATCCTTGTTTGACCTGGAATCCTTCAAAGCGCAGCTACCATTCAAAAATGGATGTGTCCTTTGCTACGCACTATGGGTGGGGCTGTCATTATTGTAAAGAGCAGTGGAATATCCAAGAAAAACCCAGGCTTTTGCCGAGTTTTACTCCAGCACCTCCTTTTATTTCAAAGACATTTGAAAGAAAAAGTTAGACTTTTAAACATCTCTTAAAGAAAAGGCTGTATCACAAGCAAGCTGCCCATACGTTTAAAGCCACTGCTCTATGCCACCTTATTTTGAAATCTGAGATAGATGCATTTGCAAAACGTCTTGCAAAATAAAATGCCACATAAGCTTTGTTTTAAACACAGTCTTGATGCTTTAAGATGTTACATACTGCGGTATTTTGGAGTCGTAGTGAGTGGAGAAGGAAAAGATCGGGAAATTAGCAGTGCAATCCTGTCTATATCTAAATTAAAAGTATGCCCCAGTGTGTTTATTGCAATTTACTGCCAAGTAAAAGTATTGAAGAATCAGTGACATTGAAATAAAATAAATCTCCATGATTTACTGGATCCATTCCACAAATTTTTGGTCAAATCCCTCCAGTCTGCAAGAATACTGTCATTGATGTTGCGTGTGACAGCAAGGAACTAACAGATTCATCTTGGTATTATGATATTGCAACTAATATAGAGGCATGCATTGCTTTTTTATTCCTTTTCAAAGGAATGCACTGTGGCTAACTCTACAAGAGTTTTTGAATTGAATTGTTTCTAATACACCAATTTCCTGTGTTGAAAATACCAGGAAACATAAGATTATATTCTGTAGCAGTAGAATCATTGTGCTGACATGATCTTTTGCTGCTTTGCTGTTTTCCAACTTTCACAAAGTTTTTTGAGGGCAATGGTGAAGAGGTATGTGTGTTGCAACTGAAGGGGGGGAAAAAGAACATTGCCAAAATGTGTATTTCTCGTCTGATCAAACCAATGCTTATGCAATTAATGCTTCCCTGTGGAGATGATATGAGTCATGCAGGTAATAATAATTTAATTTCAAACAAATCACTTCTGTGCTTGGACTATGACGTGTGTATCAGACTCAAATTTGGCAAGCAGATCAGCATAAAAAGAAGTAAAAGTTAGTATTTCCTGGAAGTAACTGTAATTTGCCTTCTACCAGCACAAGTAGCAATAACATGCCTTCTTCTGCCCCCATGTTTATACAGAAAAGAAATATCAAGCAGCTTTGACAGGAAATGGTCTTTCAACAGGTTATATTTTCAGATCTTTTCCAGAAGGTTGTTTGTGGGGTTTAGCTATTAAATATATATTTGCCTTGCAGACTTTTATTTTTTAAAACGTTTCTTTACCATTGGTTGTTTTTTTAAAAAAAAGTTTGCAGCAAAGGAAGTACAATAATAATAATAATAATAAATCCTTAGATTGCAGAGTTAAACCGAAATGATCCTGGAGGCCCTATGAGCCATATTCTAGAAAAGCCTGTTTAGTTGATCTGGGACCTTTACATTGAAATTTGATTTGGAGCATGTTTATTCAAATGTTGAATCTGCCACAGGCTTTTTAAACCTGGACCTCAAGGAATGTCAAGCACATATTCAGTTGCTCAGCCACCACTGCCATCTGATGAACATCTCAGATACCTCTAGGCCAGAATAGGATGTAAAGACTGCATGAATGTGAGCTTTCAAGTTGCAGTTGCTTTTTCACATGAACTTTAGAGGATTCTGGTGCTCTTATTCCGGGCCCTTGACAGAACTGGGCTTATCTTCTTCTTTTCATTCTGGTTTCCCTCCATGATTCGCTGCAGCTTCACCTCCATTCTATCAATACTTTGCACCCTAGATGGGCAGAAGTGGCTTCTGACAACCTACACCTGTAAACTCACTGTATGAACCCTCTGTTAGTGTCTCGTCTGCAAAATGTAGGAATCTCGATTTGATGGTGCAGTTTGTGAAAATACGCAAAATATTACACAAGCAGTTCAGGTTTTCAGAGATGGCATGCACGGGCAGATCCATGATCTATACATGCATGCTTATGCCCTGTGGCTGTGAAAAATGAATAGGGAATAAACAACAGATTGGCAACCTGTTCATTTCCTGCACCTCAGAAGCAACTCGGGGAAGGTGGGAAATAAACTGTTCATATAATCCCAGCTTTGCCCAATAATGTGCATATGTCAATCCATCTTCAGTGCTTCGGTGAGAATCTGAATGTTCCTCTGTGCGTGACTTGCAAGTGAGCATGGGCAGGTTCTATCTTCAGTTTACCCACTCAGAGCCTCCAATTAGCTTCTCATGTATCTTGCCTCTTCCCTAACTTGAAGCATATGGGAGATTTAAAATGAAGACTTTTGTCTTCATAGCCTTGCCACTGATTCATTACATTCAGCAGAATTAAGTAGTAATCAAGTAGTTGTGTGGTGCTGGAGGAGACTCTTGAGAGTCCCCTGGACTGCAAAGAGAACAAACCTATCCATTTTGAAGGAAATCAACCCTGAGTGCTCACTGGAAGGACAGATCCTGAAGCTGAGGCTCCAGTACTTTGGCCATCTTTAGGATAATTGTTTCAGCATGAGAAGAGAAGACTCCCTGGTAAAGACCCTGATGTTGGGAAAGTGTGAAGGCAAGAGGAGAAGGGGACGACAGAGGACAAGATGGTTGGACAGTGTCATTGAAGTGACCAGCATGAATTTGACCAAACTCCAGGAGGCAGTGGAAGACAGGACGGCCTGGCGTGCTCTGGTCCATGGGGCCACGAAGAGACGGACATGACTTAACAACTAAATAACAACAGGAAGTAGTAAAGTTTTTTTCTGGTTTATGTCACTCCATCACATACGTAAGGTGTTACTTTAGAATGCTTGCCTATGGAGAAGTAACACAATAGGGCAAAGCATATGCACACACACTACTTTATGAACAAACTTCTGCATACCAGGAAAGGCTTTCACCTGTTCCTCTTCTTCATTCCATGTTTCCATGTGCCCAGGCTTATTTTATTCAGGAGCATTCAAACATGCAAACTCGCCCCTCCTAGTGGGTCTTTAGCCTAGAAAAATGCTTTACCTTTTTATCCTGGCAAATGTTTTATCTAATTCGAAGGCTGCCTAAGGTCTTGTTGATGAGGGTGCGTTACCCTGAAATGCTGGTGCTACTTCCTGCTTGAGCCCATGGGCTGCTTGGACCGTGGGCTTCCTGCCTGAACCTGCTTGAACCATATATTTTGACCTGTCCTTTCAAATGAATTTTCCCCCTTCCTTTAAAAGTTGCATGATAGACTTTCCAGCCACCCTTTTTGGCCCCTGTCTCTTTAAATTTCTATGGCCCTTGCCAAAGACAGCCTTGATTTATGATAGAACTATGTAATTCTAGGTAACAAGATTTAGTGGGAGATTCAGAAGTCTACTTCAAATCCCAGCCCAACTGCCCTTGTCTTGTCTTGTTTTTGTTTTTGTTTCTGAGTTGCAAGGTTACAGATCTTACAATTAGATCTTCTTTAATTATTGTAACTAGTCCCCCATCCCCTGAACGCAAACTTCTTTTGCATGCAAGGAGGCAGCCTTTAGGATGCTTCTCTTAAAAAGCATCCGATGAGATGATTTTGGCAAATCCTTTGGGAGATAATTTTTGCTTTCTCTATCCCTCTTGCACCATCCACGGTAGCTATAATTGCACCTTTTATTTAAATAATTATCTTCAGTGAGGGAAAGGTGTGTATTTTAGGTTAATCTCTGCCAGAAATGAAAACAGCAGGATGTCAAGATAAGGGAGATTACAGGCAATAGAAACCACACATTTCCAAAAACTATCTCACAACCATTTAATGGTGTATATTTGTAGAAAAACTTCAACATTTATTTAACCTCAAGAACATGATTTTTTTTAAAAAAAAATTTTTGACCAGAGCCGCTGACTTGAGGAAGTAATATTCTCAGAACTAGGAAATGCCTTTGGAGTGGCTAGTGCTGCCGTGCTATAAAAAAACACATCAGTTCAAGAAGAAAATTACAAGTTAAAAGTAAAAAGAAAACAACTCATAATTTGAGGGCAAACTATAATAGTTGGAAGACTAGTTAGCTATTATAAGATGGGCTTGTAATATTTTAAAGGAAAGTCATGCTGAAACAATTATCTCCTTTAGGATAAGATAAACATAACATTTCTGGAGCTGCAAGGCCAGTGTGAAGGCACCTTCGTGGCGTGTCCCACAGCTACATATTTCTCTCTCCTTAGGTTCTTAGTGGGAACTTGAGGGAAACCAGCCCTTCAGCTTTGCAGGAAAATCTGACTGTGGAAATATGCTTACTGACCAATGTTCACAACATTTCCCAACCAACGCCTTCCTCAGAGACTGTAATGGCTCTAGCAATTTTGTTTTTTTAAAAATTGTTTTATAGGGCGAAGACAAATTTATAAACAACTTAATAAACATCAACAATAGAAATAAAGAGGTGAAACAGCCTGTCTGAAGCATGGGGTGTGCAGTTGGAACACTGGTAAGACAATGCACCAGTGTTCCAACTGCAGATATATAGTACATAAGGCATAATGTGAAATCAAGATGGTTTAGGTCAAGCGCTTGGATAAAGAACCACATGATCCCTGTAAAAATGTGTTATAACTTCACCATGATCTTGATTCCTTGTCCCACTTACCTTCACAGTGAGCTGCTGGATAGCTCAGTGGTTTAGGCATGGGAATTTGATT